ACAAATCGGAAACTTTGACCGCTTCACCTCCTCACGCGCCCCCGTCGACGGAGACCAAGGATGACACTAGTAGACTCGGAACGATGCAAGGAACACGATGGTGCGGGAGGTGTCGTAAACGGATCATCGGATCATCGTGAATCGACGAAAAACCAATTAAAATTGAGTTATTACCGACAATACTTCCGATTGAAATTAACGACGAACGACGACGATTCACGACGAAAGGTTTGAGGGGTTTTGTTCCTCGTTCGACAACGAACACGATGGTGATTTCGGCTCGTTGATCGGAGGTCGGACGGCGAGTAGATCAGAGTTGAAAGAGGGGTTGACGGGAGAGGGAAATGGGGGATTTCTGGAAACTGAGCACGGGTGGGGGGAGTTATATTTCATCATATATAAAAAAATGGTTAAATCATAGGTTTAGTCACTGAACTTCCTGCACTTCTTAAAATGGTATGCCAACTTTAAAATTTTACAATTTAATCCACCGTTTCTTTCAAAATACCAATTAAATCCAATACTTTATAATTTCTTAAAATTTAGCCCCTAAATTAGGGTGTTACAATTCTCCCCTCCTTAAAAGAATTTCATCCTCGAAATTCATTCATGTCACATTATTGCAGAAATGAAACTTCCATCAGTTTTTTTTATTCATATCTTTCATGTAGCTCTTATAGAAATATGAATCCTCCACTAATCCTTAACCAGTTGAGTATATCTTCTTATCAAAAATCTCTCTCATTCCAAGTAAATAATCAAAACAACTTTATCCTTGTGAAATCAATTCAGTCTTGGTTACGAGAATAGGCTCATAAAGCAGTAGCATATCCCAATTTCATTTCTGGAGTTGGGTCAGTATTTCTCGGATAATTAACTCTCACATGGCTCGTGAGGTATTTTACAACGTTTATACAGATGTTACTGGTATTCCTTTTTGCAAAGGAAGGGTCTTAACGAATAGAAACTTAGGTTTACTCATTATAGATAGGGACTCAACCTTGGAGTTCCGGCTTAGAGAGGTATGATTGTATTCTAGGGGCATGTTCTGATCAGACATATTTTGACATTCGACCGGTCGGTCTATCTTGAAAAATTTTGACTCAAATCATAGCTCTGATACCACTAAATGTAACCCCCAAGCCGATGCGGATAACCCGATCCGATCTGGGTTGTCACATTAGGGTCACCAGAGTGACCCACTGTAAAAATAACAGAAAATTTAAAACTTTTTATCAGAACATGTAAACTTATAAAATCATTTGTCACTATTTAAAAATAAAACAGATTTCCAGACTCATATATAAAACAAAATACAATTACATGCCCCCTAATCACATGTACCATACTCTGCAACAACGCCGGAAGAACTCCCTTACTGAAGTCGATAGATGCACTGGTACAATTCTTTTAACCTGAAAAGGTGAGTAATAGAGTGAGCTTCTAAAAGCTCAGTAATACAGAACTACCAGATGATGTTGAAGAACGTGCAGATACAGATAAACATACATATCCTTATTATTTCCGAACATTTATAGATTTTTATGCTAAGCAGAGATCCTACTGATATTTCAGATGGTAACGGACAATGAGCTTTCAGTTCAGACAAATATTTCGGATGACTGAGTTCAGGAGATCAGAATAGGTTATCCAGTGTGTTCCCGTAAAACCAGTAAAAAGATACAGATCTTTTAAAACATATAAATATATACCCCCATCTCATCACATCAGAATGTGTAGGTTCCCCAGAACCATACACCCAACCCAACACATCATATAAGGCCCTGAGCACAAAGCCGAGGAACCTGCGGAACTTTTTCCTTCAACAATACCCTCCCAATAAAAAAAATTTCCGTCATTAAACGGAGATATCAGAAATCAAAACAGAATTCAGAACAGATATCATAACAGAATCAAGATCAGAAATCAGAACAGAATTTAGGTAATGTATCAGAACAGAATTCAAGTCAGAAATCAGATAAAATAATTATATGATTAGGGAACACACCAGAGTTTACAAATATTATTCAGAGGTACTGGATAATCTTAGCAAGTAGAGAAACACGGATTTTCAGTATACCGATAGAATGTCAGAATTTAGAATCACTATTGTAAAAAGTTCAATAACTGACGGAATCATCAGTTATTCAAAATATGAATTATCATGATTATATCTTATTCGGACAATTTTCAGAAGTTGTACGTAATCAGAAGGGTATTCAGAATCCTTTACATCCATGTCAATTGATCGGATAATCGAACAACTTGAGAACGAAGATTCAGAACCTTAACAATTTATGTTCACTAGTCAATTCATTTTCCTTCCAGGGTATTTACTTTTTAATACCACAAATTCTTGTTCATAGATCATCTTTAGAATCATCGCTGAATAGATATTCCAATGATCTTTATTTCATTTCCAAACTTCCACGATATCATGAAATACTGACGTGCTTGATTTTTAGTTCATGCTCCATAAGGACAGTACATCTTATAAACTCATCAGAATTTCCAGACTTATCCAATGAACTTACTTAATCCTCAATCATTGAGGTTACTTAGCTTATTTAGCAGTAAAGTTCATTCCAGTTACTTCGGGGTTTTTCAGAGTAATACAAACATTCTTGTATTTCAGATATATATTGTACTTCAGATCCATTCAACAGTGGTCAACGCCAGTCAACGGTCAACGGGTCGATTCAACAGGTCGGGTAGGATCAACGGGTCGGGTCGGGTTGTGACCGATCAAACCGGTCAAAACAGTTCCAAAACCGGTCAAACCAGTGTAGGGGTGCGTGAACAGTGCTAAATTCCTGGAAAAATTCCTAAAAATTATTTTGAGCGATTTCGAGATACTTACAAAGCTCGGTTCACAATTTTGAACGGCGGAGAGCTCGATTTCAACAAATCGGAAACTTTGACCGCTTCACCTCCTCACGCGTCGCCGTCGACGGAGACCAAGGATGACACCGGTAGACTCGGAACGATGCAAGGGACACGATGGTGCGGTAGGTGTCGTAAACGGATCATCGGATCGTCGTGAATCGACAAAAAACCAATTGAAATCGAGTTATTACCGATGATACTTCCGACTGAAATTAACAACGAACGGCGACGATTCACGACGAAAGGTTTGAGGGGTTTTGTTTCTCGTTCGACAATGAACGCGATGGCAGTTTCGGCTCATTGATCGGAGGTCGAACGACGAGTAGATCGGAGTTGAAAGAGGGGTTGACGGGAGAGGGAATTGGGGGATTTATGGAAACTGAGCACGAGTGGGGGGAGTTATATTTCATCATATATAAAAAATGGTTAAATCATGGGTTTAGTCACTGAACTTCCTGCACTTCTTAAAATGGTATGCCAACTTTAAAATTTTATAATTTAATCCACCGTTTCTTTCAAAATACCAATTAAATCCAATACTTTATAATTTCTTAAAATTTAGCCCCTAAATTAGGGTGTTACACAATTAATGAGAAATTCCAAAATTGCCATTAATGAAACTTAATAATTATCAAATGATATTGCATTATATTCCATTAAAATATTCCATAGTCAGAGATGAATCAAGTTAGCTTTGAATTTCTACTTCAGTCATGCAATTTTCTAAAATTACATTTTAGTCACTAAAATTCCACTATTCGGACAAATCTGAAAAACTACACTGATCTGAGCTAAATTTCTCTAATATAAAAGATGGAAATAATATTTCCAACCATTATATAACATTCTTCAAATTTTCAAAAAATTTTGGTTCGATTCGATTATCCAATTTTTACATCGGACTTTAATGCTTTATAGCTTCTAACACAAATCTGATTACCCCAAAAATTCTTGTTTTAGGCCAAACTGTTCATTTGCGACTAAAATATATAACTTTTCAAAATTAAAATTTTTTGTTATTAAACTTTTCAAAGTTTATACTTTAGCCACCAAACTTTCAAAACTTATATTTTAGTCACTGGCTAAAATTTGGGGTATTACAGAACCATCTCGGGTTAGCCCAAAACTCACAATCCGAAAATTGGGGCATTATAGACCCAAATCCAAATATTTTTATATAAAATTTAAGTCAAGTTCGATTTTGTAAGAAAATATTTGATTATATTAGATTAAATAGAGTCAAAAGCTATTAGATATAGGTTTCATGTCCATCCCTACTCAAGTACATATAATATGTTGTGAAGAACAAGTTGAGAGGAAAGATGGAGTATACCAAAAAACAACAACTGAAACTACTACCTTGTTTCAGATAAGCCATTAAAACTTTTGGAACTATTATAATTAAAATTTTGTCTCTAAAATTTCTTTTTGATATAATTGTTTTTGGGATACTGTCAATTTTAAAATTAATAGAATTAAGCAATGATCTTAAATTTGTATGATTCCATTATTTTATAAGGCATTTGAATTTAAAATTAATCTCTCAATCTTTCAATTTTTTTGATCTAATTATCTTTTAAGATCATATATATTTTAAAGTTAAACAACTTGCTCCTCTCGTTATTCAATCCTGATTTCGTTCATGCGGGTGATCATTCGGTGATCACCAATATCGACTGATTGTTTTCTTCCACGCTTTTATTAGATGCTGATCGGTTTAAGTCATTTTTATTACTTGGTGGTCACTTTGGATGCATCGGAATTCTATTGTTCATGAAGGTGTTCACCGTTTAGTTGAGGCACAATGCAGGGTTATGACCTTTCTGCTGTTCTTATAGTTTTGGAAGATGTGAAACATTCAGCGATTTAAATAGCGGTTAGTGATCAAAATAACACTTGTAAAATAATAGCGTTGTCCTCTTTGACTGTTTTTATATGACCGCAATCTTTGTAATAATATCTGTTATGTCATCAATCACGATAAACACGATATGATCGAAAGCGCTACCACAACTACTATTTGAATCCGTCAACAACGATATAAATACACTTAATACATGATATATTTATCACACATTTTATTCGACAATCTGTGTCCATAAAGCACATAGTTACCACGAAAATAGGAACATAAGTCGCCCCAAATTTATTTATTCTTTTATCAAATGCAAGTCATATTCACTGAGATGGTGAATAGATTTATTAACAGCGATTGCTAAATCATTCAAACAGCATGAAATACCGGGGATCAACGAAAGCTGAACCCAGTACCTTGAAGCTTTTGTTCTGTGATCTGGTCCAATGTCTCGGCCATTTGAGGTGACAAATGATTGACCCAATCTCCAACTTCTCCTTTCCTGAAGAAATCTGCGTTGCTGATAGGACGTTTCGAGTTTCTGGTCTCGTTTTTATTCACGTCCTGCTCGCTCATATTCTCAAAACTGCACAGCTTCACTATATCTTCCACGATCTTATCGTTTTGTTCCTCGGGTGAAAAGGGTACCCCCAAGAACTCCGCCACTTTCCTCACACAATCCCCAGGCTCCTTCTTCACATCTTCATATTTCAAGAACAAAACCTTCTTTGGTGACTCCAGGCTAGCTTTCCAATACACCAAGACGTGATCCCAGTACGGTCCGTAGTGCGAGACCCCTTCGCAGAAAGAGTCAAAGGCTTCGTCTAGCGTAATCGGTGGAAGATCTTTGGGTCTCAACTTGTTGGCGAAATGCCACTTGGAGATTAAGACGTCTTTGGGATCTCTACAGATGTAAACAAAACGGCAACCGGAGGCATCATCGGTCATGCGTTGTGGAAACAAGGAGTAAGGAAGGTGGGTTGAGAGAAGCCGAGGCGAAGGGAACCCATCGATGAACGAAGTTGACCCGTCGACTTGAATACATCCATCCAGGAAGGGGACCAGTTCTTGAGGGTTGTTTTTGCTCAAAGGATGGTCGCTGAAATCGAAGGAGCTCCTGTTGTAGATGGAAAAGACGAGGGCCCTTAGCCACGTCGTGCCGCACTTGGGGGACGTCGCGACGATGATGTCCGTGGGTCGAGGGTTGAAGTGATCGTTGACCAACATGCTTCCCCGGAGGGCAAAAGTCGATAGCCAGAAGCGTTGGTAATGAAAAAGCTGGTCCAACCACCAGCCTTTCCTGGGGATGAGAGTGGGCAGCACCTCATCCAAGTTCTTGTAAGTCTTCTTGTATCCTTCGGCAAGTTCTAAATTCTCAATGCGCGAAAAAAATTTTGAAGTCTCCATGGGGAAAAGGCTAAGATCAAGAGCAGATCATTGCTACTTAAGCCGGCCACTAGGTGGAACATAGAAAGGAGATTCGAGATAATTATCGAAATAAAATATTGGATTAGCCGGAGATTTTACAGAAATAAACAATTTGAAAAATAATATTTAAAGAAAAAAATATTTTTTATTAAAATAAATAATTACATAATAATATATGTTCTAAATATTTTCAATCATCTGATAATGAATGCTCAATCACCTATTACTAAATATTTTCAATCATATGATAATGAATGCTCAATCACCTACTACTGTAGTCGTTGATGCTCGAATCCATAACGGTGCAAAAAAAATGTTGATTTGAGTTTAAATGATGTTAACTTGTATTTGATCAATATTTAGCCACAACTTTAATATTTTAAGCATTGAAGGATTTGCACGAGATTTTATAGAAATAAGCAATTTGAAAAATAATATCTTAAACATATTAAAATTATAATCAGACATCATTCATATCACATTCAAGTGTTATTATCAATACACGAATCCAAGGCAAATATATATATATAGTGGCTCTAGAAAAATGCTACTAACAAATTGCATTTTTATTTTATGTAATGAAATAAATGTTATTTCTTTAAGTAATTTTTTAAATGCCATTCTCTTAATTAATTATATAAAAAGAATAATTTAACTAAAATTCGCCTAGAAATAAGTTAATAAATGCAAGAAAAGTCTATTTCCACATAAATCAATGGAATTAATCAATGTATTTTGTTTAACTTATCACTTTTAACCCAAAAAACTTGATCAGATTAGTTAATCATCTTCACCTTCTGATTAATCATATTTAACTCCTTTTTCTGCCTTAAAATACTCCTTGTTCTACTTCTTTAGTTTTAGTAAATATTATAATTTGGAAGAATACAAATAGAATGACGAACGGGATGACGCCTACGATGGCCGTCCCATAATTTATTAGCTTCAACTCATAGCAAATAGTCAACTTTCTATTTATTTTTTTAATTATAAAATGGTTAAAGTTTATTTATTGTATTTTGTTCTATTAGTGTTTTTAATTGTATTGTGTTTGAATTGTGCAAACATATTTTTTTTGAGAATTTTCATTGATTGTTACTTGTATTTATCTCATTGGGAGTATATTATTTTAAGATTTTAGATATAAATTTTAAGAGAATCGTAAGTATATACTTTATTCTCAAAGTTAATAGACTGGTGAATTTTAAAAAATTTCTTTTGTGAATAACTATGATATTCGATATACATCACTCTAAATTATTGTATTAAATTTTATTACTTTTGTCAAATTTCCAATACCCTTTTATTTATTAATGCATCTCATCTTGATTATTTTCCTTGATTAATTAATTCAACAATAAGGTTTATTAATTTATTTAATTCAAAATTTTCAACATAATTTAATTTAATTGTACGAACCAACTTACCTCGATAATTAGAGAATTCGTTGTAATTTCTAGAGATTACATAATCACGGTCAAACAAATACATTATGGGGATTGTGTATTTAAAACAATGTAACCGAGGCCATGCAATGAGGTGTCAAAGAATTGAAGAAAGGTGGCAGCACAAATTAATTAAATCCACACGTGGCAATAGGAGTGGAAATAACATGGAACTGATGGAAGCATATGCATGCATGTTAACATGGGAGAAACAAATTGAAACGTGACAAATAAAGCTCCATGTTGCAGCATTGTTTAAACTTGGTGCAAGGGTGACATACAAATCACGGCAAGTAATGTGAGCTGCCAAATTCAAGGCGGTAGAATTGGTAACATCCAGAATTTTTTATGAGGCGATTTAATTATCTTTTATATATATATATATTATAATCAAAAGGTTCTTAATCTTGAGGTTATGGGATCGAGTCCCACGGAGGACATTTCATAATATGGAGGTCTCCCACGAAAGTTGCACTCAACCTGGCGTTGGGGGCAGCCTACTATCTTACCTCCCTCTTACCCATTACATATGAGAATAAGGGTCAGCTAATTTAATCAAAAGAAAAAAAAAGAATTGCATAAGAAATTAGATTTTGTGTATCTAAAAGTATCGGCAACTGCATAACACCTTTGATTGACAGTAGCAATATTGCTGGGATAGGAAATTGAGCTTAGTTACTAATAGAAAACGAGGGGGCATTTGCACCATTCAAAGCTTGTGTTGGTTCTCTCTGCTCAGTTCTCACCACTAGGTTGTGGGAGTAGTTTACTCAAGTAGATTGATTTTAATTTGTGATTTTTTGGCGATCTTTTAATAGTTTAATATATTCTGGTGGTTGGTTTATCGACATGATCACATCTTTTTGTATATATTTTTAGAGTTTTTTTAAATATTTTTCTTTTTCGATTCTTATGTGATATTAACTGATTAACTTTTTGTGTTAATGATAATAAGAAGTTGTCTTTATTATTTGTTTAGTTTGCGATTGTGATTGTAAATTTTATTGTAATTTAAAAACTAACGATTTTTACTTGTCAAAAAAATTCCACTGAAATTACATTGCATGTAGGCATGTAGACAAACTGAACATTTAGTAAATCGTTCATGAACTGTTCGGTGGAAAGTTTGTTTATGTTTTTTTATTTTAAACGAGCTAACATGAACAAGATTTTATGTTTGTTTAATTAAATAAACGAACACAAATAAAAGACTCGTTCATTTATTTAAGTTCGTGAGCGTTTGATAATTTGTTCGTTTATGTACATTCATCTATATTCGTTTATCTAATTTATTCGTTTATGTCTGTTTATATTCAGTCCAATCTCCAGACCCGTTTGAAATATTAAGACTAAATAAATTTTAAACTTAGACGTGTTAATATTTTAAAACCCAATTAATTATAAACCTAAATAAAAAAAAACTCAAATCAATTAAAGAAAATATAAATCCTAAAATTTTTTGAAAAGAAAAAAAAACTCTTCTCAACTATAGATCCAATTAATTTTATGTTCATTTATTTTTGTTCGTTTATGTTTGTTTATTTGTGTTCGTTTATCATTTTAACGAATGAACATGAACAAGCTAAATTTCTTAGTAAATGAACACTAACAAGAAATTTCGTTCGTGAAATTATTCGTGTTCGTTCGTTTGTTCAGTTAAAGTTAAATGAAAAAACATGAACATTCGTTCGTATTCATTCAATTCGTTTGCAGGACTAATTGCATGGCCATCTGGATGGGGTTTTAACTCCATAAACTTTTTTTGTTTTTGTTTATGAACCCATAATATTTGAAGTGCTATTTTTTTATATAAATAAAATATATATAAATTTATATTTAATCTACAATAAATTCATAGTTACCTTCTAGTAATAAGTACAAAAATTCGTTAAAATCTAACCCCTACAAATAGATCCAACCCGAGAATACTTGGGCCAAAACTCATAAACAAATTTAAGTTTGGTTCCCTTAATTAGCAGCAAGAAAATTATATTTTTTTTTATAAAATAGAAAGTTTATGTGATCCAATTCCAACTTACCGTCGAAGTAATTTATTAAGTGATTTCAATAATTAAAAAAGCCTTAAATTTGAATTGTTGCGTTCGTAGAATATGAGTGCTGATAATACATTATATCTACCGCGTACTTATTGTAGCAGAAAAATATAAAATATTATAAAAATATAAATATAGATCATTAAAAATATTTTAACCATTGAAATATATAAAACATTGTAAGAATATAAAATTACAAAAAAAAATTGATTATATTTTGTTTGTTTAATTAGATAAAAATAATAATATCACACATAAGAAAGTATTTTTTGAGATATTATATTCTAGATTTTTTCTTACCGAAACTATATTATAGATTTTAATTAACCACTTAACTACTGATTCATATCTAACTCGTCGCTTTGATTCTATTCTAGGGTAAGCTATTTGAAAAACTAATTAATGGGAATTAAATGGAAGAAATTGCCATCGTAATTAAATTTTTGGGCCATTAATTATATTTATATTTAATTTCTATTAATTAAATTATTTTTAAATAGTACGTAATTATTACAAGATTTAAGATTAATTTACTTATTCAATCTTATAATAACTACATACTATTTTAAAAAAAATGACTTAATATAAAAAACTTGGCTAAATCTTCAAGTTACTTTACCTTTAGTTGATAGAAGACAAATAGGGTTGTGGTTAGGTTGTTGGAAGTTATGTGCAAATTTTTTACACCCTTAGATCTCAAAATTTTTTTTCTGAAATAATAAATGACTAATTTCATCAACTTTAAAAACTGATAGATATACTCTATTTCGGGGCTCCTGTGCAAAATTGAAATTGTTTTTCCAAAAAAACTTTTTGCTTGTTAACGAGATTCGAACTTAGGATCAACAAAGTCATGTGCCCAATGATCTAACCACGCCCTTGAAGACATGACGCCACTAATTTTGGTGTTGATCGTTTTTGTCTATATTTTTTGTATTTTTAATTTATTATCAACTTTACCTTATAACTCATTTTTCTCTATTTGTATGACATATTTTTCTCTGGTTTTTGGTATATTTTTATCGTTTGACATTTCTTTTCGTCTATCTTTTTTACCAATGTTAAATTTGACAACACAATGACTGATCAAGATGATATTTATTTGTTATAATATTGATATTTTCTGCTTTGGACCCTCATATTGGATTTGAATAGATGATTTATGTTTGTGGATAGTTTTCTCATGTCGTTCGACTTTTATCTGCATTTTATTGGTGATCTTTTAATAGCTTGATCATCTTTTGTTATTCGTTTGCCGATGTGATCAAATCTCTTCTTATATATTTTTGGTTCAAGTTTTTTTATTAGGATTTTTAACATTTTTCTTTATGATACTTGTGTAATCTTAAGTGACTAGTTTTTTGTGTCATTGATTATACGAAAATGTCTCAATTATGTATTTAGTTACATTTGTGATTGTAAGCCTTTATTATGATATTTGATATTTCTTTTTTAATAAAATTAATAATTCTCATAAAATATTATATAATTTATATTATATTAACCCAGAAATAAAATATCAGATAAAAATTATCATTATCATATATAATTATGATATAATTAATTAAACTAATAAAATGATATATTAGATTTATTGGGGAAAAATCAAAATTTTGAATTTTCATATTATGAGAAACTTAATATAAATTTTAAATTATAATCACGAAAAAAAATGAAGGGTAAACTATACATTTAGCACTTAAACTATTAGTTTTTATCCGTTTTAGTACCTAAACTTTTATTTTTTTCAAATCATACATAACGTTTAGTTTTTGTTTCATTTTAATATCTCGATGTTAAAAACTTAACGCATTTAGTACTTAAACTATTAGTTTGATCAATTTTAGTACCTAAACTTTCAGTTGTTTTTAAAACATAATGTTAAATTTTGAATAGGGTACTAAAGTGAAACAAAAGCTAAACTTTAAGTATGATTTTAAAAAATCTAAAATTTAAGTATTAAAACAGAAAAAAACTGATAATTTATATACTAAACGCATAAATTTACCCTATAATGAAATGAAAGCCTTGTAAGCTAAAATATTAAAGTGTAGAAGTCTTCCCCAATAATCCTTTTTGTATTAGTAAAATAAAATGTTGAGAAAAAGGTCGAGTGGGGGCTTCAGCAACCACAGATGTATATACACACACAAACACACAACTTAAGGCAAATCTGTGCACGCAAGAAACGAATTTCAACTATTAAAAAAATGTATCTTTCTTGCACTACTCTCTCTCTTATACCGATCCACCAACCCTTTTTCGTCCTTTTTCGCCTAAACCAAACCCATTCCTTCCAGATTCTGATCCAAACCGATTGAAGGAAACGCGGGATCGATAGAGACATCGGCCATGGCAACGCAGGCAGCGAACGTTAACAAGAAGTTGAATTATTCCGTGGCCGGTAAAGAGAACGATACCATGATGTTAGGTGGTGGTCTCGTTTCCAATAAGTCCGGTATCGATCTGATGCAAAACTGTGATCTCCCTCCGCCGGTCAAGGTGTTTACGGGGCTGGATAAGGCGGTGGAGTTGATGTCGATGAATAGCAGGGCGGTTTACAACATCACGGGACGAGAGGACGATGAAGACGACGGTGGGTTCCGTGACGATGGGAAGTTGGAAATCTTCAGGGCTTTGAGATTGTCCCAGACGCGTGCGAGGGAAGCGGAAAGGAAGGCGGCGGGATTGGCGGAGGAAAAGCATCGTTTATCGAACGCCTTCATGAAAGATTCGTTGCAGCTGTTTGCTTACCGGCAATGGGTGAGATTGCTTGAGATTCAAGTCTGGGTGCTGAAATCGCAAATGGAGACGAAACGTTGTGATGAAACAGAGGGAGAAAGATTGGAGGAAGAGAGTGGAAATAATGGGGACGAAATGTCATGGTTAGTTGCTCTGGCGATTTGCTTTGGTATTGCTAGTGTTGGTTTTGCATTTGGTTGTACATATTTGTTTTGAATTATATATATATATATATATTACAACTTTGAATCAGTTTTGGATCCAAAACCAAACATCAAGAACAGGAAATGTGTCTTTTGATCTGTCTCCCTTTAAGATCCGACCATAATCTCATTCTTCAATGATAGCACGAACCGAGTCACTTAAGTGGTAATAAAATTGTTGTTATTTCGAGGTCTCTAGTTCGAGGTAAGGAATTTCAAGATATGAACGTTCAATATAGAATGATTGATAGTATCTTTAAACAGATGTTGTCTTGTATTTATCTATATTAATAAAAAAACGTGTTTATGGGACCTATTAAGGATCGAGAGACAAAAGCTCGAGGCCAAAATGATGAATACACACCGAGAGAAAGTACATTTCTAACCGTTGGGGGTTTGGACCAAACAATCGGAGATCTATTAACACTTGTCCCGCGACAGATATGGATGATACCCCGGTGGCACCTTCAAGCTGGTAGCCATTTTCTACTTCATACAAGCGAATGGGGAACCTTACATGCCCACAAAACTAAGCATCCATTGTACTAGCTAAATACTTAAAACTCAGGCTAAAATGCACGAAGTTTATATGAATGTGAGCAGGATGGATAGAGGGGAGCAGGTGGGACCGTAGTACTGAAATTTTCAAATTTTCTTATATTTTTAATTTTTTGTTTGTATGTATTCTTGTAAATTTTATAAATCCAACGTTAATACAAAATCTTATCTTGAACGTGAGCCAAAGGTTGAAAATAACCAGTTGAATCATTCAGCTTTTACACCAAGTAGCATAATTGAGTAATTCTGTCAGTCATTAATACGAAGACTAACATTTGACACTTCAACTGCAAGCTTTGCCCTTTTTTTTTTTTGAATATGAAAGAGAGCTAACAATACAGCAGATTACATATTATTTCTCGAACAGGCCGAACTAACCTCCTACAGCAGGTGGTCAATCACTTCAGGGGGATCGTGGAAAAAATTTAGACCAAAGGGAAGGGACCAAGCATGTTTAGCCAGGCCATCCGCCACTCTGTTGCATTCACGAGGAGTTTGCACCATGTCAATATTCCAACAACGAGCAAGCAGATGTGAGTCGTCAGAGGGGAAGCACTAGTTGGGTTCTGTCTCCATTCAATCGCTGAGAAAGCTTCTTTGCAATCCGATTCAACGATTACTGCTTGAACATTAAGATTCCAAGCCATCATAGATGCCCCACAGTTCAGCCTCCGTAGTCGAGCAAACACCAATGGATTTCGAGAAACCCCTCATCCAAGCTCCTGTTGAATTCTGTAAAAAAAACCTCCTCGAGAGCTCAATCCCGAGCTTGCATTCCTGGATCCATCGATGTTAAGCTAAAACCACCCCCACCGGGGAAGGGACCAAGTTGATGTTCGGTTCTGGTTTCTCTCCCTCACGGGTTGGGAAAGGCGAGCCCGGATGAAACCTTGTTGCATTTTCACGCTCCTCTGCAACACATTCTCACATTAAAAAAATTCAGGATCGAAAATTACCTTGTTTCGTCGTAACCAAAGGTTCCATATGATCAAACCAAAGAGCAGATCCCAATCTACAGCGTTGATCGGAAAGTGGCTTTGATTTCGTAAATTGAAATCCTTGTGTCATATCTCACAGCATCTTTACAATTTCTCCCGGCAATGGCGGATGCACGTATTTTCTAAAGTGGACACTAACCCAATTTAAAATCTGATTTTTTTTTATGTTTGTTATTTATTTTATTGATAGTGTTCATCTTGAAATTTTATTGAGGCCTATTCCATACAAAAAATTTCTACTATCAATATATCTGTGTCAACCTCAAAAAAATATTTCTTGATCGCCCTCCCTCTAAGCTGCAAACTTTCTCGTGAAAACCATAACGAGTACAAATCAAAGTTTGCATTCCACGCTCAGAAGATGCCATTGAAGTGATGCAACATGTTGCAAACTTCTTAATCAGTTTAGGAATGTTAATAGTTCTCCCCATATTGTTAAGAAAGGAAGCTTTCCGAATATAAAAAAGATGAAAGGGAAAGAAAAAGACTTCTTTCGTTTTTTTATATATAAAAAACAGCCTATTTGGAGCAATGGTAATTGAAAATTTAAGCAGCTAAAACCATGCATTCATAACTTGTTCTGTTGATTTCTTGCAACACCACCAAAGCTTTTCTGGTTATGAGGTCCTCTTGAAAGTTGTGAGGGTTTGAATAGGAGGACTTTAGCCATTATAATTGCAGTTGGGGTTTTAGGTGCTGCGGTTTTGATGATGTTTGGATAGGGGATCCGAAAATATATTTTAGGGTGGGTGTATATAAGTTAACGGTATAAAATTTTTGAATGAGGTAAGTATAAATAAAATTTCATGGTGGAAACTATTAATAAAATGAGTCACTAATAAAAGAAAATTTAAATTTCAGGTGAAAATTATAAAATTTCAAGATAAACACAATTAATAAAATAAGTGACTAATCGAAAAAAATCTTAACCCTCAAACCATGAGTGCATCCGTCATTGTTTGGATTTGGACTTCGGTGGTGGCACTATTTGAGATGGGTATGACTGAGGAAAAATAGTGTTTTTGGAAGAGACGGTGATAATGGTTGGGTTGAGTGGGTAAATTTATGGGAGAAAATGAAAAATTATTCAAATGTTAGTAAGTATTACTATAATTTATCTTTTTTAATTATATATATATTTATTTGTGTCACACAATAGTCTGTTAAATATCAAACGACATTTAGCTCTCAACGATCATATCTTAATTAAATTAAAGTGAAAGTGATAAAATATTATACCATTTGAATTTAGTAAGAAAAAAAATACAAAACTTAAAAGAAAATGATTAATCCTCTAGTTTACCCTAAAAATAAAAATATTCTTATTATAATACAAAAAATGTTTTTAGGTTCGGAAGTATTTTCATGAAAATTGTTCGTGTTTTGAGAAAATTATAGTTATTATCATACACGAACTAGGTGATCTTGGTGGTAAATGAGTTATTGTTATTTTTTGAGGTCTCGAGTTCGATCATCAGAAATATTAAAAATGTGAGCATTCAATGTAATTAAAATTTGTCTTTAAATAAATATTGACATGTACTTATCCGTTATTAATTAAAAGACAATTATTTTCAGTCATTTTAAGTTAGCTATAGTTGAACACTCATAAAATTATTTTCTTGATTTGTTTTAAATTCTCTCTGAAGATTATTATAAAGATATGTTTTTTTATTAAAAAGATATATATTTAACTCTATATAAAAATACATTTGAGAATGCGAAGAATGCTAAAAGACTCGTGTGATGCTAAAAAAGTAGTACCTTATTTTTATTTATTAATCCGACATAGGTACGATATAATATTTATTTAAAGTTAACTCTTTATCGTTTGATATTAAAAATTAATATTCTGACATTCAAGGTGTTTGAACCGAAGATCTCAAAAAATAATAATAATTTATTTACAACTAAAATCAATTGATTCGTGTAATATCGTGTTTAAATCAATATATTGTTTTGATTTTTTTTTTCATTTTTGAATTATAATATAATCATAAATTTTACATATAATATTATCTTATTATATGAGACCAGTGATTTTATGTAAAACAGTTATCTACCTATTAAATTATAATAATTTATTTATAAAAAATTATAACTCAATTCAAGTAATTTTAATAGTCAAATAGAAAAATATATTCGAGTATCAATTATGAATGCAATATTATTCGATGCGAATTAGTTTACACATTAAATTAAAATCGAACCATTAAACATAAATGACCATAATTCTAATCGGAATTAGAACCAAAATAACCTAAATTTTTTCTCTCAGTATTCTTGTGTCATTTTTTTTCTCTTCATTTGTTTTTTGTTTAGTCCGTTACGACACCAATCTTAATATTGATTGCTGATCGCCGATGATTATTATTTTTCTTGTTCTTTTTCATATTATATCTTTATTTTTTTTCTTGACTTTTTTTACTTTTAAATAAGAATTTATGTTATTGTGACACATTTTCTCTACTCTTGTAATACGCTTTTCTCTGTTCTTGTGACATGCTTTTTCTCTACTCTTGTGGCACGTTCCTTATGGTTTTCGGTAAGTTTTTCACATACTTTTGCGATCGTGTTGGTGTTTCCATAAAGATTCTCATTGTACTTGTTTTTTTGATTGGCTTGTCGGTGGGAATATATTGTAAGATCCCATCTTTTGTAAATGGTCGTTTTCCAATATAATTATAATTATGTAGTGAACCAGTCTATCAAAGTGTTTGATTTGCTCACCACTCATTTATCACATCGTAAAACGTCTCGTTCGTTCGACAGAGACAGAGTTTTATGAAGGTTATTGGATTGTTTTGGTGTTTGAAAGTTTTTTTTTCTCTTCGTATCTTTGGATTTAATATTTTTATTTTATGTATGAGTTTTTTGTGACCTTGTATTTAATTTTCTCTTTAGATGCGTTGCAATTTTAATTCCTCCATTTTTATTAATGAAATTCAGTTGTCATTATTCAAAAAAAATAAAATAATATAACCATAACACGACATTATTTAATTTATAAATCCTAATCCTTATACCTAAATTTGAAATTAACATGACCTAAAATCGATCAAAAAAATTAAGGCTTAATACTAAAACAAGTGCTCAAACTATACAATTTTTCTTGAATAGATGCCTAAACTATTTTTTGACTCATCCCGATGTTTAACGCTTTCTCCGTTACTATTTTAGGTGCGTAACGTTTTCTCTATTACCTTTTTAGGTGCTTGGACGTTGATCGTTGTTAAAAAAAGGCTTAATACCAAAATAAGTGCTCAAACTATACGCCTTTTCCCGAATATGTGCCTAAACTATTTTTTGACTCATATTGCTGTCTAACGTTACAAACATTACCACTTTAGGTGCCCGGGCCATCAACGATGTTAATTTTTCCGTTAAATGACACATGCCACAACCTGTTAATTTTAAAAATTTTATTTAAAATTTTAAAAATTCAAATTATATATTTTTTAGGAAAAAACATAAGAAATTTGAAATAACTTCCAAACTTTGAAAACATTCATTTCAACCCCAAAACTCACATCGATCCCTGCCCTTTTCTGTCGATAAAGCCCCACCCAACCTCACCCCCCGACGACCAAAACCCCCATGAAATTGTGGCCGACCGGCGACGAATTAACGTTTTATACCTTGCTAACCCTATAATAAAAATCGTGATCCCACACGATTCCAACGGCCAATCGACGACAATTGTGACTATGTATGACTAGGAGGATGGTAGGAACTACATCGGCGGTGGTGGTTATGGCTGGAAAGGCCGACGACGGTGGATTAAGGTTAGGATTTGGGATTTTGGGGCTATTTGATAATATAAGAAAAGTTAGTTTTTTTTATATAAATATC